ACAAGTATAGGATTGGTGCATACGGAATAAATTCCAATAACCAAAATATATATATATATATATATATATATATATAGATATATATATATATATAGATATATATATATATATATATATATATATATATATATAGTTTTAAGGTGTGCTATATTTATGGGATAAAGTCTTCAATATCAGAGATAGAGTGTATGTAAATATAAATATAAAAGTGAATACTGAAGTCAACACTCAGAGGTGTTTTTTATGCTGAACACTATCGTCAGGACACCTGATGATTGCGTCCAGCATGAAACAGCCTGTCTCCACTAGTGTTGACTTCAATGTTTACTTATATATATATATATATATATATATATATATATATATATATATATATATATATATATATATATATTTTAAATACAGATTTGTTTAATTTTTTTATATTTTTTATATATTTATTGTATTATTGTATATATATATATATATATATATATATATATATATATATATATATATATATATATATATATAATTAAACAATATATAAAAATACAAAAAAATTAAACTAATCTGTACTTAAAAAAAACAAATAATGAAGAAACGGTAACACTAATAGTAATAATAAAAAAAAAGGATCATAGTAATGATAGAAATAAGTAATAAAAGATAAAAAAATTAATCAATAATAATCTGATAATAGATAATGATAATAATAATAATAATACTCAAAATAGTAGACAGTAATAATATCAGTCGAGAAAATATCAGTAGTAAAATAAAAATGCAGATGATAAAAACGTGAAAATTTTAGATATTGAAATCAAAACTGTAAAAATATTTTAGTCGTCAAACTAAAAGCAAAAATAATAAAAGACACAGAGTGACTAACGAATGTCTATTAAGTCTACAAATTAACCTAAATTCTGAGTTCATACAAAAATGTCTGGAAACTATCCGATATTATATATCAGTTATCTAGAAAAACATTATACGTACATACCCACATAAACATCTACCAACACATAAATTAAGATCACTAAATCAAATTAAAAAATTAAAAAATATATAGAGAGCACCACATCACACAGACAGATATATAGGTAATAACAAGTTTTATTCCATTTAAATGCCATATCCAATGTTAGAAATCCAAGTCCGAAATTTTATAGGAAACAACATGTTATAAAAAGCATTTTTATGTTTTAATGTGTCGTTTATGTCTACATTTGGAAATGATCTCACTTTGAAGATTCAGCAACTCTTCTGCACTTTTAACTTTAATAATATTTTTTCCGCACTAGATCACACCGGTAACGGAAGTTTCTAGGGGAACTCGCTCTCGATATGAATCTTCACTCCAATTGTGGGGTTAGTCCTTTGTCCACCAGATCCCACTAGTGTTTGGATAAGAAAGCTTGATTTTTTAAGTATCAATATTTAAAAGAGTGCCTGTGGTTGTACAGACGCTGTTTCCAACTACCGGAGGATATACCTATGTATCTTTTTTCAAGATGATATTTTCCTTGTGGAGGCGGAATATAGCTTCATATATTACATTCTTATACATACATTTCCCCCTTATTGAACATTCTGCTCGACTCCTAAAATTGCAGGCGAGTTATTAGCTAGAGCTTTCACTATTATAAAAGTTCTTAAGTATTTTACAGTTGTGGGAAGATATAATTTTCTCCGCATTACTTACACATGAATAACTAATTTTTAGTGTATTCCTATTGAAAATTTTATATAGTGGATGTTTACTATCAAAGTGTTTGTCTATTAACCTTAGGAATAAACTTCCTATGTCAATGTCGGAAAGCCTGCAATATGGTGAGTTAAACCATATTATTTTCTTCTTTCTGTTTTTAGATCTATTAACACTATGATTTTTCAAGCCTTCTCAATAGTTTAATTCCTGTTTAAAACCACTATTCTTGAGAGCCAGGATGTATGTAAACTTATTTCCATTAAAGATTTTCTGGCTAGAATATAGCCTATTTATTCTAGTAATTACAGTTTTGGGGATGTGATCTATAACAAATTTATAAGGGTGTCTGATTAAATTTATGGAAGGGCTTAAAAGTCTCATTAGAGCGGTTAAGGGTGATGTCTAAAATTTGACTATTTTAAGGTTGGAAGATATACCTAGGCATCTGAAGTCTCTAATAATACTCTTATGTAAGTTTAAATTCAAGGCATCATTGCTATTAGGGACAATGATTAAGCCACCATCTCTATAAATTCCAACTTGATTGTAGTTAACTATTCTACTTAATGTATATAAAATATATATGCACACGAAATTTGCAGTATAGGCAGAGTCGAATGTTTCCATAGGTACATCAAAACGTTTATTATTTTCTTTCAACCAAGTAGCGTCATTATATGTTAGTATTGATCTTCTTGACGCTAAAACAATGACCGGATTATTTTTTCGTAAATTCAGTATCTCTTTTTGCGGAATAAAGGCTATTAATTAATAGTTTCTACGAAACAGAAGGGTAGAAATCCGTGATGTCAAATTAGGTGAAAATTGTATTCTCTTTATTGGGGATCTTTAGGAACCATTTAATTGTGTCTGTCATTATACGCCGATTAGGTAGTGAAACGCTGATATTTACACTTTTTAAATCTAATATTTTTTCAGGCGTATCGAGGATTGTGTTTTAGCTGAATTCATTTATTATTAAGCGACCCACATTGTGATGACATAAGAACTTCCAAGAAGGGTGAAATGTTATAAGAACGTGGACACAAATTTACAATGAAGGATCTAATGATCAAAGCGCTTCTTTTCGCCTTAGTCGGTTGATTTCTCTTTTAATTAAAGGTGCCTTTTTTTAACGAATAAGCTACTTTGCCGTAAGCGGTAAAATAGAAGTTCAGGCTATTTTGCCGGTAGATATTTTTATTATTATGACGACAGGTAATGTTAAAAAATAACAACGCACAGATTTAACACAGAAGTTTATTTACTTTCACCATCAATATTTAAGACAATTTAGCATCCTTTCTGTTATCAAATGTTAAAACAAATCATTTATTCATCATCAATTATTAAAAGAAATATAGAAGTCTGTGATTATTTGAAGGAGTTCAGGAATAATATTCTCTGTAAATTCCACACTTGCCATTAGAAATGGTTCCTTTGCCAATAATACACGTCCGTTGTGTTAAGAGTTGGGATATTATTAAGGGTCGAAATGTGGTTGTTTTAAGTTAAGAGTCGGGATATTATTAGGAGTGGAAATGTGGTTGTATTAACTTAAGAGTCAGGATATTATTAGGGGTGGAAATGTGGTTGTGTTAAGTTAAGAGTCTGGATATTATTAGTGGTGGAAATTTGGTTGTGTTAAGAGTCGGGATATTATTAGGGGTGGAAATGTGGTTGTGTTAAGAGTCGGGATATTATTAGGGGTGGAAATGTGGTTGTGTTAAGAGTCGGGATATTATTAGGGGTGGAAATGTGGTTGTGTTAAGAGTCAGGATATTATTAGTGGTGGAAATGTGGTTGTGTTAAGAGTCGGTATATTAATAGGGGTGGAAATGTGGTTGTGTTAAGAGTCGGGATATTATTAGGGGTGGAAATGTGGTTGTATTAACTTAAGAGTCGGGATATTATTAAGGGTGGAAATATGGTTGTGTTAAGTTAAGAGTCGGGATATTATTAGAGGTGGAAATGTGGTTGTATTAACTTAAGAGTCGGGATATTATTAAGGGTGGAAATGTGGTTGTGTTAAGTTAAGAGTCGGGATATTATTAGGGGTGGAAATTTGGTTGTATTAACTTAAGAATCGGGATATTATTAAGGGGGGAAATGTGGTTGTGTTAAGTTAAGAGTCGGTATATTATTAGGGGTGGAAATGTGGTTGTATTAACTTAAGAGTCAAGATATTATTAGGGGTGGAAATGTGGTTGTGTTAAGAGTCGGGATATTATTAGGGGTGGACATGTGGCTGTGTTAAGTTAAGAGTCGGTATATTATTAGAGGTGGAAATGTGGTTGAATTAACTTAAGAGTCGAGATATTATTAGGGGTGGAAATGTGGTTGTATTAACTTAAGAGTCGGGATATTATTAGGGGTGGAAATGTGGTTGTCTTAAGAGTCGGGATATTATTAGGGGTCGAAATGTGGTTGTGTTAAGAAAGATAAGAATATAGAACAAAAAAATAAACTATTATCTGAGTTTATTAGACACAAATGCAATTCGGATGGTGAATAGAACTGCTGGATGCGTAATGATATGATTTGAGCCTCGGAGAATTGCATAGGTAATCGTTGCTTCCCAAACTTCGTGAATTTAAGCGTTCTACTAGGCTGGCATCTCGCTCTCACCCTTTCACTGTCGAAACTGTTAAATGTAGCCGTCTCTTCTTCTCCAATAACTTCATGTCTCGCACTTCTCGCCTGTGGAACTCCCTACCCTCTTCCTGTTTCCCTGGTAGCTACAATCTCAAACTATTCAAATGTAATGTCAATCGACGTCTCCAGATACCATGGTCTATCCCCTATCCTTCTCTTCATCCTTTCCTCTATCAATCCTAATCTCTGTAACCCCTTGCTTGATAGTGGCTTCCCAACTTGCTTGTGGTGAAAGGCTTAAAAAAAATTCTACCTATGATAATTATTCTCTTAGAGAATTTTGTGTAGTTAGCCATTATAAAATTCTTTATTTTCTTTTAGTGTTTATTCAGCTTGAACTCGACTGGAATCTGTATCTGAGTTCAAATTCCAGTCGACTTTCATTTAAGCACAAATAGTCTGGATTCGCCTGTGGTGCGTTGGATAACGCCTTGGGAGGAGAAATCGGGAAGCCGTTCCCTTACATTAGCCCAAGAATTTTCGATTCTACCGCAATCCGGTGTAATTTACTCTATTTTGTCGATTGCTGTGGTAAGTGGTTGATTGGTTCGCGAAAGGAGACGAAAATGGGCAGCAAACGAATCCCATTTGAAGGCAATATTGATCTTTATTTCCATTGATTGGTGAAAAGGGCGAAGATCATGGCTTATTCACCTTTGATGCCTTCGGACGAAACCTTCGTTTCACAAACACTAAATGGTGTCCATCGCTATCGATGTTTTCCGACGCTTATCAGCATTCTGAGGCGGAAATTATCAAAAACCACCAATTCCAGGAGGCCGCTTCACTAAACGCCATCCGAAATAAAGGCAAAGGTGTCGGTATCGGGGAGTGAGAATCAATGTCTAATGAGTAAAGCGTCCCTAAATGGAAAATGCCAAAGGAACTCGGCCATTTCTAGCACCACACTCAGGTATAAGAGCGAGATTTTCACGCTAATTGGGACCTTGTATTAAACCAATCATCGTAATCGGTTCCATAATCAGCTACCTACGATGTTTCATGTTTTTTCTTATACAGGATGCGTTACAACCCCACCAAAAAAAAACAACAAGAAATTAGATACATTGAATGGAAAATATATTCAAACCAGAATTCTAATTATGAATCACCATAAGCATAATATTTTTTTTATTGTATTCGATAAGTAAAAACCTTGTGAAACAATTGTAAAAGATTACAAAATGGCTACTCAATAAATAAGACTTTCTAGATCATAATTAATAAAAACAAAATATATATAAAAGTGTATATAACACCATTATACTGCTGGGCACAAATAATAAGACAAAATGTTTTGCTTTGTTTATTGTAAATCTCAGTAAAACTATTGCACTGTATAACGTCATAATATCGTTAAATTGTTCTGTATAATTTCACTTTAAAGTAAATGCAGGTCTTATTTGATGACACAATGATTTAGTAATAATGTACGTGTTCCTTTCTTCTTGTTCATAAACAATTTGTAAAGCTTCAGTAAATTATACATTTTATAAGGCTGTGCTGTAAGGCTTTCGCTGATCACCGGAATGAAATTGCAACGCTTCCATTTTGAACCTAAACGTAATATTTAAATTCACTTCCTCAAAAAACAGTAAAAATTTGGAAAATAATATTTTATGTCTTTATTTATGATGTCGAACTGCAACTTTCAAACTGAGTGTAATACTATGTTTTCAAAATCAAGTGGCCTTAGTATATAAGGCAAACGGCATAAATCGAAGCAAGTTTAATAAAGACTAGCAGTGGAGTCCGACGTTGCCCGGGGATGTAACAGTAAGAGATAGATCAAGTATCGACCATCATAAAGACTGAAAAATAAAATTGACAAAGATTATTGTTTAAGATTCACGGACACGCATGTTTTAATTAGTTTTTTTTTTGTTTTGTTTTTTTACGAATTGGTCAAACCCAAACTCAAACAAAAACATTGTTTTCAATCATTATGAGTTTATCGATTGAATAGAATTTTATTATAACCAATTGTCTTGTAAATGGAATTTTTAAAGCATTCTGAATGTAAAAATAAAGAAAAAGTGTGCAAGACAATAAGAAACACTACCTGCCAAAAAATAAGTGAAGTTTTGTTGAAATCGGTTGAAAATGTAGGAAATCCGATCCCATATATAAACGAACACACACACAAAAAAAACCTGGGTTTTATAATATGCGCGTTGCCCCCCTTTCATTCTGGCGACAGAATCGTGTTTTATCGTGTTTTCAAATTGATTTCGTGCAAAAACAATTGTTTTTCTAATTTTTGACGCTGTCAGAACCACCCCAAGGTAATTTTACGCAGTCCTGTGAAGTTTTGTTAAAATCGGTTGAAAAATGTAGGAAATCCGATCCAATATATAAACGTACACACACACACACACAATCTGCGTTTTATAATAAGTAAGATTACGTAGTAACCACGAAATAAATTAAACAAATAAATAAAGAAAGAAAGAAAGAAAGAAAGAAAGAAAAATAAATAAAGAAAGAAAAAGATAGAAATAAAAATAAATTAAAGAAAGAAAGAAAGAAAGAAAGAAAGAAAGAAAGAAAGAAATGTCGTAAGAATGAAATCCAGGAGGGAATCAGTACTTTATAAATTAGTCCCCATGACGAAAACGTTCCGATTTTTTTTTAGAATGAAGAAAGAAAGAAAGAAAGAAAGAAAGAAAGAAAGAGAAAAAGAAAGAAAGAAACAAAGAGAAAAAGAAAAAAAAGAAAGATAGACAAGACAAAAGAAAAAGGAAAGAAAGAAAGAGGGATGAGCTGTTATTGAAATGGTTACTGGCACAGAAAGAAAGAAAAAAAGAAAAAGATTAGAAAACAAAACAAAATCAAGACCTAAGTCAGTTCTAGAAAGGTTTGACGTACAAAACGTTAGGAACTTGATATAATAGTTAATGACGCTGCAATCTAGTTGTGGTGGCTGATACTTTAATGTCCGACACCGACTGACTGACCAATTCACTGAGCTCCTTGGCGACTGCTACTACTCCTACTTATTATAGGTGGGAGAGTCTATTAACAATAGAATAGGTATGTTCCAGTATAACACATTCTCATTCGAATTAACGTTTGATGAAACTTATACTCATTATGAAATGGTCTTTTCTCTCAATGCATTTGTACCTTCATAAACATGACAATAAAAGCCTTATTCTGACAGAGTTCTACCAGATTGAAACCTTCGAGGACAATTCTCATTCACTCTATTTTAGGAGAGGGATGCCCATGATCAAAATCCTGATTCGCTCTGTGTTTCCCGAGAATTTTCTGTCCAAATATTCTTTCGCTATTTTGCCAGAACGCTACCCATGATTAAAACTTTACAAGAATCATACTGTAAAGGACCCTGGGGTGAAGATATAAAGAACACACGTGGGTTAAAATTTCCTGCTAGCAGGTCCCGCTACATGAGAATGTTGGACTTGAAGTAAGTCCAAATAAAACAAAAACAAACAAGACCGATAATTATATATAAACAAATATATGTATTAACAACAACTTACAAGCACATGGACAGTTACATGGAATTTGTTTGGTGTATGTGTGTGTGTGTGTGTGTTTTGTGGTGAGTGTTTGTACGTACGTGTATTGTTCTTAGCGTGTTCCCAGCATTTGGGAAACGCTGTATTGGTGAGAGCTCACATATTGATATTAGCTGAAATGAAGAGAAAAGAATTACCCCGCCTCATCAACCCGAGTTGGTATAAGACCCAAGGCCTGAGGGAAAAGAGAGATCGAGGCAAAAGGTCACCCAGTATTTATAGACAGGGGAGAGAGACCCCTGGTGAAGGATTAAGGAACTGAGGAGGAGCTAACTCCGACAATACCAATGAGGAAAAATGCTATTGGATTTTTGCTCGAACTCAGAACCATTATTGTATTGCCGTTTGGAAATCGAGAAAGATGGCCGTGATCAAAATCCTTATATTGTCTGAGTTTTGAGATTATTAAAATATTTGAGAGGGAGAGTATTCCTACTTTTTTTACTCTCGACTAAATCTCGTGCTTTGCGAGAATGAAACTCATGGCCCAATTCATTCTTCGTGATTTTACGAGATTGCTGCCAATGGTCCAAAACCCTATTCTCTCTTTGCTTAAACACACACATTCTCTCGGAAGGGTATTTACGAGATTGATATCCATAACGAAAATTATTACTCTACTTATATTTTACCCACGATAAAAAAGACTTATTCTCTATGTATGTTACGAGATTGATTCCCTAGATCAAAAAAAGCCTTATTTTCTCTTTATTTTACGAGATGGATTCCCTAGATCAAATCCCTTATTCTATAGTTTTGCGAGATTGATATCCTCAATCAAAACATTGAGTCACTTGGAAGGGGATTTATGATATACTCGTAACGGAAAACATTATTCTCCTGAGATGTTGCAAGATAGATACGCATGGTTTGAATCTTTATTCCCTCGATGTTGTGCAAGATTGATTTCCATGATTAAAACCATTTATTGCCTCGATCTACATAGTATAGATACCCTGGGTTAAAAATATGATTCTCCCCGTGTTTTATAAGATTGATACCCACAATTAAAATCCTTGTTCTCGCTCTGTTTAGCCAGATTGATAACAATGATCACAATATTTGTATTTTTTTCCTTCTAGACATTTGTCGTATTGATGCTTACGATCAAAATCTTTAAACGAACTCAGGCTTTATTGGCACCCACGATTAAAATCATTGTTCTTTCGGGGTTTTATAAAAATGATCCTGATGACGAAATCAATTTTTTGTCTTTGATTTGTTAGTTCGATTTCTATACTCGTTATCAGAATCATAATTCTGTTACAGGTTTTGATGAGATCGATATTTTATTACGAAATGTGCGATTTTTAAGATTGATACCCATAAACAAATAATTATTCATCCTGTCATGAGAAAGGTATTATGATAATTGTTATTTGGGCGTTGTCTTTTGAGAATTGCCCTTGACTGAAATCCTTCCACATCATCTTGTGCCTCGAGTTTGACACCCTGGACCACAATCCTTCTGATATATCTTGCACGCTTCCTACACATGTTCGAAGGTCTTCTCTGTCTCATTTCTAACTGAAAGAAAGAAAGAAAGAAAGAAAGAAAGAAAGAAAGAAAGAAAGAAAAAGATAGGAAGAAAAATAAAAGAAAGAAAGAAAGAAAAAATAGAAAGAAAGAAAGTAAAAGATATAAATAAAAAGAAGGGAAAGAAAGAAAGAAAGAAAGAAAGAAAGAAAGAAAGAAAAAGAAAGAAAAATAAAAGAAAGAAAAAGATAGAAATAAAAATGAATGAAAGAAAGAAAGAAAGAAAGAAAGAAAGAAAGAAAAAGATAGGAAGAAAAATAGAAGAAAGAAAGAAAGAAAGAAAGAAAAAGATAGAAAGAAAAGTAAAAGAAAGAAAGAAAGAAAAATAGAAAGAAAGAAAGAAAGTAAAAGATAGAAATAAAAGCAAGAAAAAAAGAAAAATAGAAAGAAAAGAATGAAAGAAAGCAAGCGAGAAAGAAAGAAAGAAAGAAAGAAAAAGAAAGAAAAATAAAAGAAAGAAAGACAAACAAAAGAAAGAAAAAGATAAAAAGAAACATAAAAGAAAGAAAGATAGATAGAAAGAAAGAAATGTCGTAAGAATAAAACCCAGGAGGGAATCTGACCCAAATATCATGGTTTGGGTCTTATTGCAAGGGTGATTTAATAGGTCAGACCGATTATGGAACCGTTGTCTTGCACACTATTTGAAAGTTAGAGTTTGATATAATAAAGAATAACACAAAATCCTTTTTTCCAATTCCTTACTGTTTTCTTTTTCTTTCTTTTTTCTTTTCGTTTTTTTTTTTTTTGAGGAAAGAAGTTTAAAAATTATGTTTAGCTTAAAAATTATATCGTTGGGATTTCATTCCAGTGATCAGTGAAAGCCTTATAGAAACAGCATTATTACATTTATAATTTACTGAATTTTTATACATTGTATATAGACAAGATGCAAGGCACAAGCACATTACTAAATCATTGTGCTTTCAAATAAGACCTTCATTTAATTCAAAGGAACATTATACAGAACAATTGAGCTATTTTATAGAGTAATATATTATACAATGAAGTAGTTTTAGTGCGATTTTCAATAAACAATGCACATTTAAAACATTTTGTCTTATACTGTATTTTTAATGATGATTTTATAAATGATCTAACAAATTTTATTCATTGAGTAGGGTTTATTTGTAATCTTTTACAATTTTTACACATATTGTAATTATACAGTAAAAATATCTTTTAATTATAAAATACAGTAAAAAATATCTTTTAATTATGGAATACAGTAAAAGGATACTTCATATTTTGACTGTGATGATTCTTAATTAGAATTCTGTTTTCAACATATTTCCTATTCAATGTATCTAATACAAAATAGTTCAACTTTATTTGGATTTATTCTTGAAATAGCAAAATTCTGAAATTATTTTGTAAGCAAAACCCTGCAGAAATTTTTCTATACATTTTTCAGACGATATTTAAAACTAAATGCTCAAAAATTGGTAAGAGCTATGACTCAATTTTTTGGTGTCACTACTTGTTACATAAGCCCAGCTTTCACAGCGAGTACAATCTTGATTTTCTAAAGAACATGAAAAAAAAAGCTATCATACTGGTACAATGGAGCAGCTTCATTCTCTCTTTTACGAATTTCTGTCTTTGATAACCGCGAGAAAATCCTGATTCTAGTGTTTTCCGGTAGTGATAGCCACGAAGAAAACCTTTCTTTACTTTGCCATTTGTGGGATTAATACCATGATCTCTCTCTCTCTCTCTCTCTCTCTTTTGCGAGACTCGTACCCATGATCAAAAAACCTTCTTCTTTCAGTACTTAAAAGCCAGATTCACTAGATTGATACCCATTACCAAAATATTTATTCCACTTAAACTTTGCAATTTTCATTCCATGTCCTAATTCCTTATTTGCTCTCTTCTGTTCTTTACCAGATTCATATCAATATTCAATTCCCGTATTCACTCTCTGTTCTTTACTAACAATTAAACTCTTCTTATTTAACAGGTTTGACAGTCAGAATAAAATCCCTTATTCTCTCTGTATAAAATAGATTCCCATGATCAAATCCCTTGTTCTCACTTGTTGAGATTGATTCCCATAATCAAATTCTTTTCCATGATTTATTCTCATTTGATGAAATTGATTCCCATAATCAAATCCTTTATTCTCATTTGAATTGATTCTCCCAAATCCAAATCCTTTTATTCTCTGGATAAAAATGGATTCCCATGTATAAAATTGATTCCATTCTCTCTGTATAATTGATTCCCATCAAACCTTATTCACTTGTTGAGATTGATTCCCATAATCAAATCCTTTATTCTCTGTATAAAATTGATTCCCATGATCAAATCCCTTTATTCTCATTTGATTGAGATTGATTCCCATAATCAAATCCTTTATTCTCTCTGTATAAAATTGATTCCCATGATCAAATTCTCACTTTTGATTCCCCATAATCAAATCCTTTATTCTTCTCTGTATGTTGATTCCCATGATCAAATTGATTCTCAGTTGATGAGATTGATTCCCAAATCAAATCCTTTATTCTTTCTGGATAAAATGGATTCCCATGATCAAATCCCTTATTCTCACTTGTTGAGATTGATTCCCATAAAGAAATCCTTTATTCTCTCTGTATAAAATTGATTCCCATGATCAAATCCTTATTCTCACTTGATGAGATTGATTCCATAATCAAATCCTTTATTCTCTCTGTATAAAATTGATTCCCATGATCAAATCCCTTATTCTCACTTGATGAGATTGATTCCCATAATCAAATCCTTTATTCTCTCTGTATAAAATTGATTCCCATGATCAAATCCCTTATTCTCACTTGTTGAGATTGATTCCCATAATCAAATCCTTTTATTCTCTCTGTATAAAATTGATTCCCCCATGATCAAATCCCTCTTATTCTCACTTGTTGAGATTGATTCCCATAATCAAATCCTTTATTCTCTCTGTATAAAATTGATTCCCATGATCAAATCCCTTATTCTCACTTGATGAGATTGATTCCCATAATCAAATCCTTTATTCTCTCTGTATAAAATTGATTCCCATGATCAAATCCCTTATTCTCACTTGTTGAGATTGATTCCCATAATCAAATCCTTTATTCTCTCTGTATAAAATTGATTCCCATGATCAAATCCCTTATTCTCAAATCTTGTTGTTGAGATTGATTCCCATAATCAAATCCTTTATTCTCTCTGTATAAAATTGATTCCCATGATCAAATCCCTTATTCTCACTTGTTGAGATTGATTCCCATAATCAAATCATTTATTCTCTCTGGATAAAATTGATTCCCATGATCAAATCCCTTATTCTCACTTGATGAGATTGATTCCCATAATCAAATCCTTTATTCTCTCTGTATAAAATTGATTCCCATGATCAAATCCCTTATTCTCACTTGTTGAGATTGATTCCCATAATCAAATCCTTTATTCTCTCTGGATAAAATTGATTCCCATGATCAAATCCTTATTCTCACTTGATGAGATTGATTCCCATAATCAAATCCTTTATTCTCTCTGTATAAAATTGATTCCCATGATCAAATCCCTTATTCTCACTTGATGAGATTGATTCCCATAATCAAATCCTTTATTCTCTCTAAAATTGTTCCCATAAAATTGATTCCCATGATCAAATTTATTCTCTCTTAAAATTGATTCCCATGATCAAATCTTGTTGAGATTGATTCCCATAATCAAATCTTTATTCTTTCTGGATAAAATTGATTCCCATGATCAAATCCCTTTATTCTCACTTGTTGAGATTGATTCCCATAATCAAATCCTTTATTCTCTCTGTATAAAATTGATTCCCATGATCAAATCAAATCTTTATTCTCTCTTGATGAGATTGATTCCTCATAATCAAATCAAATTATTCTCTCTGTATAAAATTGATTCCCATGATCAAATCCCTTATTCTCACTTGATGAGATTGATTCCCATAATCAAATCCTTTATTCTCTCTGATAAAAATTGATTCCCATGATCAAATCCCTTTATTCTCTCAGTATTGTTGAGATTGATTCCCATAATCAAATCCTTTATTCTTTCTGGATAAAATTGATTCCCTTATGATCAAATCCCTTTTATTCTCATAAAATTGATTCCCATGATGAGATTGATCTCCTTGTTAATCAAATCAAATCTTTATTCTCTCTATAAAAATTGATTCCCATGATCAAATCCCTTATTCTCAGTTGTTGAGATTGATTCCCATAATCAAATCCTTTATTCTCTCTGTATAAAATTGATTCCCATGATCAAATCCTTATTCTCACTTGTTGAGATTGATTCCCAATAAATCAAATTCTTTGTATAAAATTGATTCCCATGATCAAAATTGATTCCCATTTATGAAATTCCCTTTCATTCTTTATTCTTGGATAAAATTGATTCCCATGATCAAATCCCTTATTCTCATAATTGAAATCAAATCTTTATTCTCTCTGTATAAAATTGATTCCCATGATCAAATCCCTTATTCTCACTTGATGAGATTGATTCCCATAATCAAATCCTTTATTCTCTCTGTATAAAATTGATTCCCATGATCAAATCCCTTTATTCTCACTTGTTGAGATTTGATTCCCATAATCAAATCCCTTATTCTCTCTTGATAAAATTGATTCCCATGATCAAATCCCTTATTCTCAGATTGGATTCCCATAATCAAATCCTTTATTCTCTCTGTATAAAATTGATTCCATGATCAAATCCCTTATTCTGAGATTGATTCCCATAATCAAATCCTTTATTCTCTCTGTATAAAATTGATTCCCATGATCAAATCCTTATTCTCACTTATTCTCAAATCTTTATTCTCTGATAAAATTGATTCCCATAATCAAATCCTTTATTCTCATTCTTGTCTTGTATAAAAATCCTTGATTCTCTCTGTATAAAATGATCAAATCCTTATTCTCATTCTTGTTGAGATTGATTCCGATAATCAAATCATTTATTCTCTCTGGATAAAATTGATTCCCATGATCAAATCCCTTATTCTCACTTGTTGAGATTGATTCCCATAATCAAATCCTTTATTCTCTCTGTATAAAATTGATTCCCATGATCAAATCCTTTATTCTCACTTGATGAGATTGATTCCCATAATCAAATCCTTTATTCTCTCTGTATAAAATTGATTCCCATGATCAAATCCCTTATTCTCACTTGTTGAGATTGATTCCCATAATCAAATCCTTTATTCTCTCTGTATAAAATTGATTCCCATGATCAAATCCTTTATTCTCACTTAAAATTGTTGATCATTTTGATTCCCATAATCAAATCCTTTATTCTCTCTGGATAAAATTGATTCCCATGATCAAATCCCCTTATTCCCTTATTCTCTCTTGATCAAATCCTTATTCTCATTATTTGAGATTGATTCCCATAATCAAATCCCTTATTCTCTTTGATTGATTCCCATAATCAAATCCTTTATTCTCTCTGTATAAAATTGATTCCCATGATCAAATCCCTTATTCTCACTTGTTGAGATTGATTCCCATAATCAAATCCTTTTATTCTCTCTGGATAAAATTGATTCCTATGATCAAATCCCTTTATTCTCACTTGTTG